GGCGCTTGAGTGTTCTAGCACCGTCTAGTTTGTCCGTGACTAAGTTAACTGGAAAATATGCCATTGATATAATCGGCAAACATTTGCTTTAGCGGATTAGTTAGTAGCAGAATGCCTTACTAGTAGCCTATCCTTGGTGTGACAGCACCTACGTCTTAACATGCAATACCCAAGCCAATCGAATAATCTATAGGCAAGTTGTCTAAATTGCTAATTGCACACTTTGCATTGCTAGATCACATATGGATTGTGACCTAGCTCTAGAATGTTAGCCCTAGGATATAACATGTTAACTGTGAAGTTTGGTATGGATATATGTATACGCAAATTTAAACGTAACAAGTTATAACAGGGCTGTAGTTGCCCTCAGTCTCCGTCCATAGTAAAACACGTGAATTAGGTTTCCACAGTGAAGCAGCTCACTATATATTGTATACACATGTTGTATTAATAGCCCACACTGGTAGGTCTATATTATGAACAGCATGGCTAGCTGGCAGTATGGTAAGTGCAGCAAGAGCAGTAATACGTGGACTACACGTCAGCAATGAACGTCCACAATTAAAAATGTGTCTGAACAGTGAACGCACTGCTTTTGCAAATCAAACTCATATCCTATGTATAAAGGAACTGAAACCCAAAAATGTTGTATTGCACTGCGGAAAAACTTGCGACAAACATAATCAACTTAGAGCTTTATTACCTTAAACAACAGCAACAATAAACCGAGCAGCAATCTTAAGGTAGAAGCCAAGAAAAGTTACTTGAAATCATGCCAGTCGAACATATACCTCACAGAAACACAGAAGAGTATGCTCTCTCGCTACTCGCGTCGTATTGGCACGAGCTAATGGAGGAGTTACATGACAACCACGCTCTGTCTGTTTTTATGTCCTTATTCTTGTTCAGATATGTCAGGCTTATTGGAAATACCTATGCGTATCTGAGGTCACGCCCGGTGCCGCTTCCTCCAAATCCAACATATTCGAAGAAGGATGTCACCGTGGTTATGCCGACCGCTGATCCGACGGAACAATTCGCCGCCTCCCTTCGTTCGATTGCCACTCAGGGTCCGGGAAAGATCCTTGTTGTGACCGTCGGGGCCGAAAAGTCCAAAAAGGCTAGACGAATCGCGGAGATCGTTCCGGGGAATATCGAAGTGGTAGACCACGGCGTTATGAGCAAGCGGGAACAGCTCTGCGCTGGCATTCGTCTGGTCAAGACACCTCTTGTTTTCGAGGCTGATGATAGCATCTTTTGGCCTGATGGCTTTATTGAGCACATGATAGCGCCTTTTGAAGACCATTCGGTTGGTTGCGTTGGCTGTACGAAGCAAGTTCGCCGCCTGAACTTGGGGTGGACTGCGGCGGACGTGTGCAACTTCATTGGAGCGAATTATCTCTCCCGACACAATTTTCAAATTCTGGCCACGAACTACATAGACGGCGGGGTCTTTGTAGTGAGCGGGAGATGTGCTGCATTTCGAACAAATATCCTGGCGGATCCAAGCTTCATGTTTAGATACCTCAACGAGTGGTTCCTCGGAGTTGGACCGCTCAATGTCGACGAAGACAACTTCATCACGCGTTGGCTGGTCACAAATAACTGGAATATCGCCATCCAGAGCGGACCACATGCCACAATGGAGACAGTCATTGGTGACACGGGTTGGAATATATTGTTCCAGAAGATGTTCCGCTGGGCTAGAACAACGTTTCGCTCCAACGCGAAGTCGTTGGTTTTGGAGCGTAGTTGTTGGCGTCGACACCCATGGACAGTATACGCTGAATTCATAAGCAGCTATTTCAACGCGGCTTTGTTCTACGACAGCGCGATGCTGCTGAGTTTGTGGAAGGCAACACTTAACCCGAAGGCCATGTTCGTGCTTGCCCTGTGGGTATTCGCTAGTAAAATGGTGAAAGCAATCCCACACTTCCGCCGTCACCCGAAGGATCTAGTCTACTTGCCAGTGTATGTTTTGTTCGGATACGTACACTCGTTCATCAAGCTCTGGGCTGCCTTCACAGTGTTCGACATATCATGGAGTTCGAGACCCGAAACTACCCAAACGGTCCCAAAATCAGAAAAGGCAACAAACTGAGTGTCAGCCAACTCCAATTTTTGGCCTTCTATTTCTTTACTTATTACTCATTAGTGAGAATAAATAGTCACGCAACCGACTAATAAATTATCTAGGTTGCTACAGCAGATACCCGTCCGATTGCGACTAGGATGATTGGGGATGAAGGCACCACGAAGGCACCACCATCTTGGGGCAATGTTTTAGCACGAACAAATTGAAATACGTGTAGCAGATCCCGGCCGCCAAGAGTATAGGCCTCGTTTCTAAGTTGGGTGCTGTATTGGACTTCTCACTATGCCCAGGACTTTATCGGGAGGATTAGGGCTTTGAGAGCGAAGGACAAACGTCATAGTCTTGAGCATAGGCAATGAGCCCAATTAACTCGAGGATGCGATAGCCATCGTGAAGCCAGGGGTGTGCTTTCGAAAGATATGGGTTATATGAGGCACGTGATCTCGTTCCCCACCAATGCAGGCATTACGCCATGTGGCGCTCAGCCACTCTTGCATGCCTACTCCGTCCTTACGCAACCCAAGCACATAAACTTCCTCGTAAAACAGCACGAAATGTCAGCAGAAACGGGAACAAGAAATATCGTCGTAGTTGGTAAGTAGCCTTTTCATACGAACAAAATAATCTCTAGTCATTTGTTTCGAGTTACTCCTAAATACCCCTGAACATAGATGCCACGGACTAAATCACGCTAACCTTGAAGCTTTCGTCTAGGTGGTGGCATTATCGGTAGCACAACTGCCTATTTCCTCTCGCGACACCCTTCCTATGACCCATCTAAGGACAATATCACCCTCCTTGAAGCCTCTAAGATCGCCGGCGGTGCCTCCGGTAAAGCAGGCGGTCTCCTCGCGACTTGGGCTTATCCAGCCGCACTTGTGCCTCTAAGCTTTCGTCTTCATCGCGAGCTCGCTGACGCACACGACGGGCGCGAACGTTGGGGTTACCGCGAGGTCAATTGTGGACAAGTGGACTGTAAGGGTCGCGCCATCGAAAAGGTAGAGAAGAAGTCGAAGGATGGAGCTAAGGAAGGTAGTTCGGTGTCGCTGGAAAAGCGGTCGGCTGCGGCGCTGAAGAAGCTCAAGGGCGCAGGTGTTCCGGAAGACCTGGACTGGCTGGATGCGGACGCAGTAAACTACTACGAGAGCATGTCTGGCCCTGGCGAGACGGCGCAGGTGCACCCGTATTTGTTCACGACGAGTATGGCAAAGCTAGCGGAGGAGAAAGGGGTCAAGATTGAGCTAGGCGCCATGGTCAAGAGCATAAATACGACTTCTACGAGTGAGAAAGCCGTGGAGAGCGTCATGTACTCCACACCTGATAGCGACGCACCTAAAACAATACTCGCGAGCATAGTCGTCCTCGCCGCCGGTCCTTGGACCTCGCGCGTCTGGCCGTCAGCGCCGATAACAGCTCTACGGGCGCACAGTGTGACCATCAAACCCACACGACCAGTTTCCGCCTACGCACTCTTCACTGAAATCAGTCTCGCAGCGCACACCTTGGGACGTCCTGCCGTCCGGGCAGCGCCAGAGATCTACGCGCGACCAGACGGCGAAGTATACGCTTGTGGTGAGGGCGATTCGCTCGTGCCGCTGCCCGCCACGACGGCCAACGTCGAAGTCGACCAGCAACGTTGCGATGATATTATCGCCAGCGTCGGAACCGTCAGCGAGGAACTGCGCGAGGGTGAGGTCCACGCCCGCCAAGCCTGCTACCTACCCAACACGGCAGTGCGCGGAGGGCCATTTGTTGGACTGACGAGCGTTACGGGGCTTATAATGGCGGCTGGGCATACGTGCTGGGGCATTCAGAATGCACCGGGAACAGGAAAGTGTGTGAGCGAAATGTGCTTTGATGGTAAAGTCCGAAGTGCGAATCTGTCGTCGTTGGACCCAAGGAAATTTGGAGTGTGAAAGACTTGAATGAATAACGTGTGAGAACCTAACTGTGTAGTCTGTATCGATTGCATTGTTTTCAGCAACGATCATCCGTTGTGTCATACTAAACCATAATATATTGGCTACGGGAAAAACAGTTAAATTGTTCGTCCAATGTTTTAATTGATCCCGATTTGTTTAAATATGCGACTAAATCTCTAGAAATTTCCCCTGACTCTCAAATACGCATCGGCGAAGGCCAGGGACACCACTCCACGGATTCATAACCAAACGAGATTAATGACTCCACCATGTGTATCCTTCACATCGTCCACTACAGCTGCAAATGCGCCCATCTCACAATCATCACTACCTGCGCACATGGCAGGGATGGCCAGAAGTGTGGTAACATCCAGACTGGTCATAGAGATGTAGATGAGCTATGCAAGAATTGCAAGCCAGAGGACAAGAAGCCTGATGACAAGAAGTCCGGGGACAACAAGAAACCAGATGGCAAAGATGATCCTAGGCCTCAGTCAGGCAGGCAGGAGCTTGACCTGCACAATTGGTAGATGGCATCAAAGTTACAGTCTGCGTAAAAGGGATTAACCAACTTTCATGCCCCTTGCAGCAAACCCCACAAATTGGAACAATAGATTTTTCATTTCCTAGAGAGGCTGCAAACTGACATATAGGTATTCAGAGCAGTTAGATGCATGCAGCTCCTAATGACCTTTTTTTAATGAATATAAGAGTAGCCCAAGCCAGATGTGATCCAGCTCTTACTTCAAAGATAGTCATCATTTTCAAGAGAGGGAGGCATCCCAGGGCCAAAACTAGGTGTACTGATAAAAAGTAAGTTTGAATAAACCACTTAGCTTGGGGAGTGCATGTTGGAACTACGATAAGAAAAACGACGGTAAAAATAGGTACGCAAATTACTCGTTGTGGAAATACACCAATTTTTAGTTAGCGCAACTGACTATAAATATATATAGAATATGCTAAAATCCTTGCTGTTCTTTGGCAAGATGGCCGAGTGGTTATGGCGTGTGACTCAAGCTTTCAAGCTTCCTCAGCGTAGCGAGGGTTCTCATGGGCTTAGCCCGCGTGGGTTCGAATCCCACTCTTGTCACCATATGTTTCTTATTTTGCTACTTTTCCCCCAGATTTAGTTGGGCAATATAACCTATTTATACGCACTCTTTTATTTCTTTGAGTTTTATTTTGATATTAGTGCTATAATAATCGTAAGGCGGCTTGTTTTCGTTCCATGTGACAGATTTGCAGAGCATGAGTCGGATGTCGTGGAACAACATTTATCGACTGCGGAGGTTTCCTGAGGCTCCATCCATTGTCTCGGTTCACCGGCCTTTCCCTACACGCTCTGGCACTATAACTTGGCCAGAGTTGAGCGTATTCCGAATTACGAGCAGTCTAGGTGTTTGTATTCCTTGCAGAAGAAGGCTATAGATGGCATCGCCGTCGACACTTGAGATGCTAATTTCATCGACTAGAGCAAGATTTAGACGTCACGTCTCGCCCAATCACACGCAGCAATAGCAGCACAAAACCGTCGAGACGGAAAAGGGCAAGCGGTAAAAGGGGGACGGTACTGCCTATTCAAGCCTACCTACCTAGGTAGCACACAAAACGTATCACACCAAACCATATTGCACACTCACGGCGACCTCAGCTGCAGCACCCAGCCACACGCGCACGCCAATACGCAGGGCCAGACAAGCCAACCAAGCACTTAAGAGGTGGGGAAAAAGAAAAAGAAAAAAGAGCTAGTCTTCTTTGCATAAACCTGCAATAGGCACTACTCCATCCGCACACCTCTGATTTCACGCGCTCGTCTACACGTCCACCAAGGTGCCACCAAACCCAACCTGTCTTTGAAGAGAACGGAAAAGGAAAAAGCAGTGAGGACCACAGAGCAAACCGACCAACCCGCCGCCATTTCCACTAGCCTAGCCTCCGCTGCCTGTTCCACGCTGCCTAACTAAGCCCAACCCCATTCAGCCCGCGCAGCCTCCTGGTGCCACACGTTCCATTCCGCTCCCTAGTCTTCCCAGTCACAAAAAGCACGCCTTGTACTCACTCACTCGCCAAGTTTTTATTGCAGGGGGGGGGGGGATGTAAAGAAGGGGGTGTGTGCCGATAACACGCAAAAAGGAGCCAGAGGAAAGAGCTAATATAGAAATGGGGGCGCTCGGTATATGGGCTTAGGGGTTTGGAGGGGGATCAAGGGTGCGTGTGATATCAAAGCCGTTTATAATTGGAAAGATTGTGAGAACAAAGAAACGGGGGGCACGGACGCGGAAACCAGGCCAGGACAAGAATGAATTATTTTCTTTTGACTACCAAACTAACCAGCAGGCTGATGAGAAACCGTATAGGGAAAGAGAGCACAGACTGGAGGATGGTTGCAGGCTGGCGGGACTGGCCGCCGGAAGAGGCTGCCGGTTTGGTGGCGGGTCGTCTACGAGTATCTTGCAACGGGTGCTATAAGCTGGGTAAGCCGCTGACCAGCGATCTCAGAAAGTGCTTGTTTCGAAATGTACCTTAGAAGCACTTGCGGTGGACAATGGACGGGCCGCTCTCGTCATACTCCTGCTTCGAGATCCACATTTGCTGGAATGTGGAGAGTGAGGCCAAGATGGAGCCACCGATCCAGACGGAGTACTTGCGCTCCGGAGGAGCAATGATCTTGACCTTCATCGACGACGGAGCAAGAGCCGTGATTTCCTTCTGCATACGGTCCGAGATACCCGGGTACATGGTGGTACCGCCAGACTAGTCGAGTTGTTAGCAAAGATAAACAGATGAATTATTTTAAAACGCTGGGATGCAACGTACCATGACAATGTTGCCGTAGAGGTCCTTCCTTACGTCGACGTCGCACTTCATGATGGAGTTGAAAGTGGTGACGTGGATACCGCCGCTCTCAAGACCAAGGACAGATGGCTGGAAGAGCGCCTCAGGAGCGCGGAAGCGCTCGTTGCCAATGGTGATGACCTGACCGTCGGGAAGCTCGTACGATTTCTCAAGGCTGGAGCTCTGGCTGGCTGTCTGGATCTCCTGCTCGAAGTCGAGCGCGACGTAGCAGAGCTTCTCCTTGATGTCACGGACGATTTCGCGCTCGGCAGTGGTAGAGAAGGTGTAGCCGCGCTCGGCGAGGATCTTCATGAGGTAGTCGGTCAAGTCACGGCCGGCCATGTCGACACGCGAGATGGCGTGGGGCAGGGCGAAACCTTCGTAGATGGGCACAACGTGAGTGACACCGTCACCGGAGTCAAGCACGATACCCGTCGTACGACCGGAGGCATACAGGGACAACACGGCCTGGATGCTGACGTAGAACGCCGGGGCATTGAACGTCTCGAAGACGATCTGGGTCATCTTCTCGCGGTTGGACTTGGGGTTGATAGGAGCCTCCGTTAGGAGGACAGGATGCTCCTCGGGCGCCACACGCAGCTCGTTGTAGAAGGTGTGATGCCAAATCTTTTCCATGTCATCCCAGTTTGTGACGACGCCGTGCTCGATCGGGTACCGCAGGGTCAGGATACCACGCTTCGACTGCGCCTCATCACCGACGTACGAGTCCTTCTGGCCCATACCAATCATGATGCTATGCGCGAGCGGTCAGCAATCGACGCCGACATGTCGGTGAGTGGACGAGGGGATCTTTACCCATGGTGGCGAGGCCGACCGACAATGGACGCTGGATCACATGTGTTAGCAGCCTCTCCAAAATCAAACCAGATGCTATCGGTGCAGCTGTACGCGCCCGAGAAAGCGTTGCGCCTAGTTCGAGATGGAGTGGGGGGTTTTAGGGGAACTTACGGAAAACCGCTCGCGGGGCATCGTCACCGGCAAAACCGGCCTTGCACATACCCGAACTGCGGGACCATCAGCTTATCATTTGGTGGCTATCAGGGTGTTCAGGCATCGTCATGGTGGAAGCGGGCGAGTCCCGACTTGGGCGAGCATGGGGACTAGCCGTAATCGCGGAGTCGAGAGCCCCGCAGATTGGTGCTTGGAGCTGTTTCTTACCCATTGTCGATGACGAGGGCAGCGACTTCCTCTATAAGGGATGGTGCGGGTCAGCATGGTGTTGCAAGATGGGTGCGCATGGCGTAGGACGAAAGACTTGTGGGCCCGGCGCCGGGCAGGTCACGGGAGGTTCAGCTCTCACCTTCCATTGCGACTGATTAGGCTTTGCAGAAGACTGAAAAGCGGCGAGAAACGGAGGGGCGTGAGTAGTCGGCCAAGAGACAAAGATGGCGGCACCAGACGCCGGCAGGCCGAGTGCAAGAACGAGGTCGCAAGGGCGCTAGGAGAGGAGGGCGTGGATGGGCGGCGTGGTCGAGGGCGACGAGCGTGAGAGAAAGGGAAGAGTTGAGGTCTTACGGCGGAGGGACGACGGGGTCGGGTTGTGTGTGTGGGCGGCAAGACGGTGCTAAGTAAGCGCCAACGCTCTTTCCGGGTTGGGCGCCGCGGGCTGCCACTGCCACTCTGCGATTAGACGGGCACTGTCACGCTGGTTCCTTCCGCGGCTCCCGCACCGAGGACTTTTGCACGAGCTCAGTTTGGTTAGGTATGCGAGCAGCGGGTTCCTTTGAAGCGCGCTCCGTACGCTCTTTATTTCGCGTCTCCGCGCTCCCTAAGTAGCAGTGGCTTCCGCGCTTATTTCACTCCCAGGCAACGCCATTCTGCAGGACCTATTTATTGCGTGTGTTCGTACGCTTCGTGGTCCACGCGTCTCCCTCCGCCACCGGCGCCTGTAGAGCAGGTAACTTGCCTCCGCCAGGCACCTGCAATACCCTCTTGGCAGCGGTGTCTGAGACGGTTGATGATGGGGACCGCCATCGCACCGGCCGACTGACGGCCCACCACCTTTCTTCTGGCCCCTATCTTGCGTGAGTCGGTGGCATCAAGGCGGGCACGAGCATCCTGACGTCCCTGCGCCCCAGCCACTGCGTGGCAGTCCAGCCCTTCTCACCGCATCGCGCGCCCCGTTCTCGCACCCCTGCCGGTCTGAGCGGCGCCCCGTGCAGAAGCGGGGCATGGCGGGGTGAAAATGCTACTTCCGACGCCACTATCACCACCCCCAATTGACCGCCGTGATCACAAGCTTTTGAGCCTCAAGGTACATTGCATTTTTCAGAATGCCATCAGACGCGCCGAGGCTTTCGCACGAGGCTTGTAAGCTACGTGCGGCCGCTATCGGGCGCTGTTGAGACTCCCGTCGTAGGTACCATCTGCTAACGAGGGGCCGCCCGCCCAACGAAAATGCGAGCCGATTCGCGAAACCTCCACCATATTCTTTCGTCACCTTGACGGTCTGCGTAAATATAAAACGTATGAGCAGCGAGCGGCCTCGGGCATTAAAACCTACCATACTTATTTTGAAGCTTCTCTCCGCTTTGAATCTTCAATTTTCAGTGAGGCGTGTCAATTTTCGAACGAGGTGAGATCCGCAAGCGATGGCTTAATAAACCCTTGCCTGAACTTCGCGCACACCTACAGCTCTCGACAACACAACAACGACCACAACCACCCCTCCCAAGCAACCTCATTTGGACCCTCCAAACCGCGCATACTACGTACGCACCAACTACCACCATGACTGGTCCCATGGATCCCGGCCTGAACGAGCTCCTCCGCTGGTCGGTCGAAAACTCGGACGCCTCGCGCGGCGATCCCGGTAGCCAAATCAACCAAGGCCGCTCGGGACCGCGCATCGAAGGTCTCACGGCCGAGGCACTACAGTCGATCCTGGGCGGGCCGTCAGATGCGGACCGCATGCGCGACGCCATGACGGCCATCATGTCGCCCGACGTCGACCTCGATAACAAGCTGACCGCCTTCGACAACTTCGAGCAGCTGGTCGAGAACCTGGACAACGCGAACAACATGGAGGTGCTGGGCTTGTGGGATCCGCTGGTGAGGCAGCTGCAGAGGGAGGAGAAGGAACTAAGGAAAATGGCGGCGTGGTGTTTGGGAACGGCGGTGCAGAATAATGTCAAGGGGCAGGAGAAGGTACGTTTGAACTTTTGCTGAATACGTAACAGTTGGAAGAATTTTGGTTGCTAACATGAGTTCCAGATGCTGTCGCTTGGCGTTCTA